TGGGGGAGGGGGGCAGATGGAAGAACGTTGGGATTGCAAGTTGCTTACCCTTCAGTCATTACAGAGTTAAATGTTGTTTGTTAGGAAGCAGGATGTTACGTTACATGATGTATTCAGCGGCGGGAAAGTTTGTGGGAGTTGTTTATCCTAATGAAGTGACCTACAACCTTTGTATTGGTCAACTAACAACTTGTTTGTGGAAATGCTTTGATCTAGCAGTAATGTACTCACAAGGTTTATGGCCCTTTGTGTGAACCAGACAGGAAGTTCTCTTCTAGAAGCTGAGACAGACAGAAAGATGTAGCTGTTAGCATATGTTACTGAGAGTAACTGTAAGCATGTAACCTTTTATTTTATTTCTTTTATCCAAAGTACCCTACCCATGTTTTATTTTGTTTTTATAGTAAAGATATTTTTCTTTTACTAAGTGTGTGCTCTTGTGTTTGCAATACAACCATCGACCCTGAATCAAAGAATCCCAATAAAGAAGGACCCTGGCCAGCAGCCTCTAGAGAACAGGGTGTGTGTGTGTGTGGGAGATCTTGGAGGTCCCCTTGGCCTGGTCCAAGAATGGTTCTGCTTAGTGCCAGAGAGGCTGGCTGGCCACTGTGTGAGACAGGATGCTGGGACTAGCCGGACTATCGGTCTGATCCAGCAGGGCTCTTCTTATGTTCTCACAAACTGGTTTAAGTTTACTGCAGCCAAACCAGCAGAAGAGTTCGAGATCCCCTACAGGACGGTGGCAAGATCTCCCATGGGTCAAAGCCCACCATTCCCGGTCTCAGGCCTGGCCTTTGGTGACCTTCCTAGACCTCTTTAGACTTTATTAACCTGGCAAAGGGCGCACTGGCCTTCAAATGTTAATCCTGTGATACTTTGAGCCAGTTTGGTGTAGTGGTTAAGTGCGTGGACTCTAATCTGGGAGAACCGGGTTTGATTCCCCACTCCTCCACTTGCACCTGGCTGGACGACCTTGGGCAAGCCGTAGCTCTGACAAGAGCTGTCCTTGAAAAAGAGCAGTTTCTGTCAAGAGCTCTCTCAGCCCCACCTACCTCACAGGGTGTCTGTTGTGGGGAGGGGAAGGGAAAGGAGTTTGTAAGCCGCTCTGAGACGCCTTTGGGCAGTGAAGGGCAGGGTATGAATCCAATCTCTTCTTCTCTCTCAGTCCCACCGACCTCGCAGGGTGTCTGTTGTGGGGAGGGGAGAGGAAAGGAGTTTGTAAGCCGCTCTGAGACTCCTTTGGGTAGTGAAGGGCCATGGGGTATAAATCCAATCTCTTCTTCTCTCTCAGCTCCACCTACCTCACAGGGTGTCTGTTGTGGGGAGAGGAAGGGAAAGGAGTTTGTAAGCCGCTCTGAGACTCTGGGTGGTGAAGGGCAGGGTATAAACCCAATCTCTTCTTCTCTCTCAGCCCAACTTACCTCACAGGGTGTCTGTTGTGGGGAGGGGAAGGGAAAGGAGTTTGTAAGCCGCTCTGAGACTCCCTTGGGTAGTGAAGGGCGGGGTATAAATCCAATCTCTTCTCTTCTTCTTCTTTGCGAGAGTTACTTTAAGGCATTCCGGATATCTTGGCAGGTTCTGACATAACAATCCAGCACAGGTATCATTCTGGAATTTGCTTGGTATTTGTCATGGGAAATCAGCTACTAATATTCTCATTTTATAGACGGGAAAGTAAGGTCGGGGGGGGGGGGCAAGGAAGAACTGAACCACAAGGTGAGTCCAAGGGCAGGACATGGGATTTGAACCCAGGCCTCTTGGAGCCAACACAAATGACTGGCAAGATTGTGCCCAGCATGGCTCACAGGATTCCATGCTTCTCTTCAGAGTCATGTCGCTTTTTTAAAAACTCAAAGCAGGGGTTCCCAGGTTATAAATACAGTCCCCATTGACATGTGATTACATAGACGGGTGTCATGTGCTCCGAGGCAGGGGTCCCTAGGCAGTAGCAGCTTTGCCGTGCACCTGCGCGCGCACACACACCCTGTTGAGTCCAGTGCCTGTTTCAACACAGCCTGGCATTGGTGGTGCCTGGGTTGATAAAGAGGGCTGGGGAATTGGAGCCACCATGGCAAGCCCCAGTTCTGGAGGGGAAGAGCTGCCTGACCAGCAGCCCTCCAGACCCTCTGGTGCTAAGCTGGTTTGGCTGCTGCTCTCTCTTTCCCCCTTGCAAGCCTGGCCGGGCTGTCTGGGGCGCTCTTTCAGCCGGCATCAGGTGGGATGAAAGGACTGCCTGTCGAGGAATTTCAAAGGCTTCTGCACCTCTGGAGAGCAGCACTGCTGCCCGGACTGGGCCAGCAGCCCCTCGGCTTTTAATTAGCCGAGCCTCTCCTTTCACCCTCCGCCAGAATTCCATTCCCTTGTTTTCTTCGCAGCATTTTCCAGTTTCCTTTTAAGTGCTGTAAACTGTGCCTTGTGCGGCAGGAGTCAGAAAGTTATGTGGCCGGGGTGGGGGTGGGAGTGACGATTGAGGGGGCAGGATGGGGTGAAGGCAGCAGATATTATGGGATGGGGAGACTCTCTGAGGTCATTCTGTGTCCTTCTGCCATGCAAGAGGTCCTCCCCAGTGTTCCTGTTGGGTGATAGTGAGATATTGAAAAAATGGTATTTAGCAGAGATAAGATAGCCCAGCAGAGCCTGAGTAAAATAATTCAGACTGAGAGTCCATGTGTGATTAAAATATAAAGTTTTTACTAAATTCTAGCATAGGGAAGGGTTACTGGGATGAAAATAACAACAGAGCTAAATCGGCTACATCCTTACACTACAAAGACAAAACTAGAAGAGAGATTATGGCTGCTCTTCTTCTTCTTGAGAACACCAAAACAAAGACGGGAAGAGAAGCCATAAAATGGTAATACAACTTGACACTTTAGTCCCAATCAAATTCCTAGATCAGGGAGAAAATTCCCGGGCTTCCTACATCTAAAGAACATTGGTTACATGAGAAACATGTGACTTCCTGTGAGTAACAAAAACAAACATTTAACCCCAGATATACTGAGTGTTTTCAACCTGTAATACCCAGCAGTTCCCTCTAAGCTGCGTTAGCGTGAGCTAGCTCACAGTTTTTTAGCCTCTGGCACATACATTTTTGTCTCTGCTCAGGAAGAATGGCTCCAGGCAAACTCATTTATGCAGTAGCCAAATCACTCACTCCCAACCAGTGTTCCCTCTAAGCTGAGTTAGTGTGAGCTAGCTCACAATTTTTTTAGCCTCCAGCTCACACATTTTTGTTTTAGCTCAGGAAGGATGGCTGCAGAGCACACTAATTAATGCAGTAGCCACTAATGCACACTAATTCAATGCCAGTAGCTCACAAAGTAGAATTTTTGCTCACAAGACTCCACAGCTTATAGGGAACATTGCCCAACTTTCATGCCAGTAGCTCACAAAGTAGAATTTTTGCTCACAAGACTCCACAGCTTATAGGGAACATTGCCCAACTTTCATGCCAGTAGCTCACAAAGTAGAATTTTTGCTCACAAGACTCCACAGCTTACAGGGAGCATTGGTCTTCCCCTGAGGACACCAGCGCATCCAACTGCCTTCCGGTTGCCTCCCTCCCATTTCCTCAGTGCCAAGGTGATTTCTGCACCCCGATACTTCAAATAGCCATCTGGGGAGGCTACAGTGAGAAGAAGGCACTCGGCAGCCTGGGGCCTGGGGAACCTTTGTTACTATGGTGCGCACGCTGGGATGTGAAGTCAACGCCTGCTTGTTTTCAGCCGTCGCAAATAAATCCAACGGCAGCTACCCAAAGCGGACTACTCTGGCGGAAGATGGGGTGGAGGTGGGGAGGCAAAGAGCCAGCTCTCATTCCTCTGCCCCATGATGAATGAATCACAAATCCTGGGTTTCTGGGCACTCGATATTCTTCTTTTGGATCCTCCCCCCCCATCTGCATTCCCAATGAGCACCTGGTGTCCGTGGGCTTGTGGGAAGAAATGGCTGTTCCGTGCACTATATTTTTGGTATCGGATGCCTCCACAGGATCTGCTGTGGGTGGTGGTTAGGAGACTGGGGAGGGCAGCTAAAGAGCGAGAAGTCAGCTGACCTCTTCTTTTTTCATATGTTGAGTATGTATTACAATTTCATACAGATATTTCTTTCCTAATATATTATACTCCTTTTGAAACTAAAACAAACAATAAAACCCCATTGAGGTGACATATCGTCTGTTTATATCTCAATCCCAATCTTGTTTATAACCTCTTCTTTTTCTTATTTCCTTATATTACCCACTTATAATACCACCATGCAACTTCCTCTATATCTTATTCTATTATATTCTTCTTGTGTGTTCTTCAGTACCTAGAAAAGAAAGCTGGACGGGGTTGCCTCCGATACTGGGTGCTGTAGGGGAAATCCCTACAGCAGGAGGGTAACCTCCACCCTTTTATCAGAGGTCTTTGGGGGAGCACATCCTTCACCTCCTTGCTATGCCCTTGTTACAATACTTCAACTCCTATATTATTTCCTCCTTTCTAATAGTTACCCCTTGTATCTAATTCTATACTCCCAACTTATATTTATTTATTTTAATTGCTCTCCACATAACTTAATATGCTATTGTCAAATCCCGGGACCCACTGTCCCCTTCAAACTCCTCCATCTGTTTTCTTAGTAACTGCGTCCAAAAGTTTTTTTGCCCGTGGTCTCATTGTAAGCGGTGAGAGTTTTTCCATTTAGATTGACCACTAGGTGGCCGAGTGGAAGCCATCTATACTGAATTTCATGGTCTCTCAACGCCTTCGCTGTTTCTCGCAGTCTGCGTCTTGCTATGAGAACCTCTGCTGGGATGTCAGCGTATAAGCTGACCTCTTCTGGGAAGCCCAGCCAAGCCCCCCCTCCCCCATCAGACTCCGGGGCTCTGGTGTGGGTGGGTGGGGGGCACCACTAGACTGCAGCATCTCGGAGGAAAGCAAAGGCTGTGATCCTCCAAGAAACTTGCCTGATGCAGCCAATAAGACCAGCACTGGGCCCCCTGATCCTTGCAGTGGTGGAAAGTACCGTCAAGTCGCAGTCGACTTATGGCGAGACCCCCTGCAGGGTTTCGAAGGTAAGAGGTGAACAGAGGCGGTTTGCCATTGCCTGCCTCTGCGTAGTGACCCTGGGCATCCTTGGTGGTCTGCCATCCAAATACCGACCAGGGCCAACCCTACTTAGCTTCTGATGAGATCAGGCTAGCCTGGACCACCCAGGTCAGGGCAGCTGATCCTTGTACTTGCCGCAAAGCTCTGGGTTGAAATCATGGCCACAGCTAGAGGAGTGAGTGAGGCCCTTCTGGCTGTGGCCTCTTGACCAGGGGTCATTTCATAGAAAAAGAGCTAGGGGAACTCATTAGCATAACTCATTAGCATATGCCACACCCCCTGACATCAGGGGCCCGGCGGTGGACCTGCAAGGCCAGCGGGAGTGCGAGGAAGCCCCGCCAAGGCCCTCCCTGGCCCCAGGCAGGCAGGGGTGGGGAGAGGCGGGGAGGAAGCAACTTACCCTCCCTCTTCTCCTGCCTCCTCCTGGCTGAATGAGGGCCGGAAGCGGGGCGGCCGGAAGCAGGGGGCGGGGCTTCGTCATGTGCCCCGCACCCCTGCACCTCACCCGGGGGAAATGCGTTCCCCCGCGTTCCCCCCCGAAATGACCTCTGCTCTTGACCCAGTCCTGGGGACAAGTGTCAGCAGCATGCCTGCCATTTCGGTGTAGTGGTGAGGAGCGCGGGCTCTAATGTGGGAGAACCAGGTTTGATTCCCCACTCCTCCCCATGCAGCTGCTGGTGTGACCTTGGGTCAGTCCCAAGTTCTCTCCGAGCTGTTCTCTCGAGAGCAGTTCTCGAAAGAGCTCTGTCAGCCCCACCTACCTCACAGGGTGTCTGTTGTGGGGAGGGGAAGGAGATGATTCTCCTCCTCCTCCCCCCACAATCACTCTGCTACTCTTCCCTCAGTAGGCAGACAGGCCCTTGCAGAAGGAGCAGGGCTGCTACCTGCATATGGGGACAGAGAGGCCTGGTTGGTTGGAAACCAGGAGGTAGCAAGACCATACTGGTGGGGCCAGGGCGGACCAGAGCCCTGTAGCGTGGCAAAGCGAGGGAAATGAGCGGGGGTGGTTGGGGGTGGTTCTGAAGGTTTCTCAGCCATCCTATGAAGTCTTCGTTTTGGTTGACAGGCTACAGCTCCAGGTAGGACTTCAGGTGCTGACCCCTGACGACTGCCTTCATAGGTATGAGATTCCGTGCTCATGAACATGATGCAGCAGCCAAGGCTGTCTTCCCCTGCCAAAGGAGGAATCCCAGCTGCTCTTTCCTGAGTCGTCAGGCCAGGACCCATGCACAATGTCTCCAGAGGTGGGACAACCTTGAACGTATCTGAACCTCAGAAACTGCCTCCTCCCACTTCAGATCACTAGTCCATCTCCCTCACTGTTATCTGCCCTGATCGGCCATGAGTGATTCTCTGCAGTGTTCTGCAGAGAAAGGGGCTTTCGGGTAGCCTCCATTACTCGCGTCCCTTTAAGGGAAGCAGCCCTGGCTGGAGGCCTGCTTTGCACACAAAGCAGACACACACACACACACCCCGCTGAGCTTTGCAGGCTCCCAAGAAATGCCGGACTTGTCTCTAGAAAGGAGGACAAAACCGTTCAGAGGCCGACCCAGGCTCGGAACTAACAACAAAGCGCTCCTTTGGCTGGAGTCAGAGCTTGGCCGAGGCTGCCCATCAAAGGAACCCCGTCCTGCGTTTCATTGCAGACAGGAGTAATGGGAAGAAATGACCAACATTAACCCCATCCCCACCCACACCAATGGCCGAGCACCTGGCACGGAAAGCAGCTGCCCGCCTTTCTCTGGTTCATTTGTCTGGCTCAGACGCAAAGCCCCATGGGGAGGTTCCAGAGCCAGCTGCAATGAAAGATAAAGCTGGAGTTTTGGTCAGCTCTATTGATTTTCCTTATTATTACAGTACGAAATTTATGGCTGGCTTTAAAACTGCAATAAGTGGCAAGCTGGAGGAGGGGAACTTCCACATGACCTTGAAAATGTTCCCCTTCAAAACCCAACCCCCACTATCAACTTCTGGCCGCAAGCTGAGACACGGGGGGGGGGGAATGTGGGGCTGCTGCTGAGCCCCACATCACTGCCGGAACCAAAGAGACACTTCTAGGCTTGGTCAAGAGGAGCAAGGCTGGGTCTGACCAGGGATGCCGGGCTCCTCGCCGCCTACTGCAGCTTTTGTTCTTGGAACCAGGTTGCCCACAGAGCCCGACCCACTCCCTTGGGCCTGGCAGAACCAGGGCCTGCCTAAAGCAGAGGTCTCGGACTCATTTGTTAAGAGGTTACGAATCTGACATGAATGTCACTTTGTCGGGCCAGGCCACGTGCGCCATAAAACATAATGCCAGGTACCGGAGATATAAACCGTATAAAGGACAGCAGCTGGTAAGCTCCGAGTGGTTGCATCCTCACTGCAAGCCCCCGTGGGGGGGGGGGGTGCGCAAAGGAAAACCGATATGGGCGGATTGGAGAGCCAGCAGTGCAGCACTGGGTAGATTCTCCCATGCTGTTTGACTGTTGCGAACAAGGTTGCTCCACCACGCCAAAGCCACAATTGGAGTGGCTCTGTCCACTCCACATCCCTGAGCAGTCCTCCTGCTCCCTCCCTTGCAGTAGTTGTTCGTGGGCCACATAAGAGTCCTGGACGGGCCACTTCTGGCCCCCGGGCCTTATGTTTGACACCAATGTTCCCTCTAAGCTCTGGAGTCCTGTGAGCAAAAATTCTACCTTGTGAGCTACTGCCATTAAAGTTGTGAGCAGGTGATTTGGCTGCTGCATAAACTAGTTTGCTCTGGAGCCATCCTTCCTGAGCTAAGACAAAAATGTGTGAGCTGGAGGCTAAAAAACTGTGAGCTAGCTCAAACTAACTCATCTTAGAGGGAACACTGCCCTGGGCTAAAGCCAAGGGGGGGCACTAAGGCTGCCAGTGGGGAAGGAAGACCAGTTGGAATCTTACCATAAGCCCCGATCCCCCAGGAGGCCATCCCCTCTCAGCGCCACGGTCAGTCTTACAAATGGGGATGAGATAGTTAGGAGTTTCAGACTCTGGTTTGAGAGTTCCAGGTTCAAATCCTCAGTCCGGAATGAAGCTGAGATGACCCTGGGCCCATCACACCCCTTCTCAGTCTAACTTACCACACAGGGTTGTTGTGAGCATGAAATGGAAAGGAGAACCACTTGCAGCTCATTCGAAGGAATGAGGGATAACCGCGTACTAGTTAGAGAGGATACTGGCCTGCTCTGCAGGGCTGTTGCAGGGAGGCCTGAGATCATGAACATGAAGCTGTTTGTAACAGTCACAAGCCCTGTGAATGTGTGAAAGGGATCTGACAGAGTCCCCGTTGCCCCTGCTGTTACCACCCCTAGGGAGGGGGAGGAGGAGGAGGAGGAGGAGGAAGAAGAAATTACCCCACCCTTCACTACCCAAAGGAGTCTCTGAGTGGCTTATAATCTCCTTTCCCTTCCCCTTCTCACAACAGATGCCCTGTGAGGTAGGAGGGGCTAAGAGAGCTCTTTCAAGGACTGCTCTTGAGAGAACAGCTCTGAAATAACTTGTGACTGTCCCAAGGTCACTCCAGCAGCTGCATGTGGAGGAGTGGGGAATCAAACACAGTTCTCCCAGATTAGAGTCCACGCTCCTAACCACTCCACCAGACTGGCTCTCAAGAAGGGATGCATATTCCACCACCATCACCCCGCCACCACTGCAACTCATCTCCTCCTCTGCCTCCCCCATCCCTTCCGCAGGCACTAAAAAGTGTTCTGGATTACCTCCACGGCCTCAAGGAGAACTTTGCTGCAAGCAAGCAAGCAAGTTGAGATTCACAGGGAGTATTCAGAGCTGGCACTTGGACTCAAATGCTATCACCTCCCGATTCTACACCCCAGGAAGCCTCTCCGTACCCGAACCAGCTCCATACAAATGCAAAGAAGTTATCTGAATTTTTTGTCTATGTGTAAAGGAACATTGGTGGAGGGTACCATAAAATCCAGTTATCAGAGTCTGGGCAGCAATGGGGGGAAAAATCTGTGGCCAGTTAAGAGCATCAGGGCGTTGCGGCTCCAGTGCCAATTTCTTCTTGCTTACGCGGACATATCCTGCACAGAAGCCACTGTGAAGGAGGAGGCGGCGGCAGCTACAAAGTGGGCAGCAGCTGGCTAGAGTCACATCTCTGGTTTCCTTTGAACCCATTTGATTACTTCCAGCTCCTGGCACAGGGCTACTTGGAAGCTGCCATGCTGCTACACTGCCTGGCCTGCTGCCCTCACTGAGCCTCTGAGGAAGCCTTTTCATCTGCGATCTGGAAAACATGACTGATTATTCCATGCAGGAAAGAAAGAGTTTCCTAATTTAACAATGCAGACGCATCAGTCCAGTGGGGCTCACTCCTAATTTAGTAATTGCACGTTAGGAGTGTGACCTCCTTTAACAACAGGACTTCCAGGGTGTCACACTGCAAGCCTTCCTGCATTGTTCTAGAGTAAGTGCCCCTATGTGTTCACCATGTGTTCACAGACAATCTAGGGAGGGCTTGGTGTGTTTGCTTCACTTATACCTTACCTTTCTCTCCAATGGGGACCCAATACAGCTTACATCCCTCTCCTCTCCTCTGTTTTATCCTCACACCAGCCTGTGGGGTAGGTTGGAGTTTCTTATAAAAATTGCGATTCAGCAGAGAAAAACAGCTTAGCAATGCCAGAGTGCAATAATCAGAGTCAGAGTCCATGTGTGTTTTAAAATATAAAAGTTTTACTTTTACTACATTCTAGCATAGGGAAAGGTAACTGGGAGGAAAATAACAACACAGCTAAAACAGCTACATCCTCACTCTAAAAAGGACGAGACTAGAAGAGCCGCAATGGCTACTCTTACACGCTTCTTGTCGAAACAGAACAAAGACGAGAAGAGGAGCCATAAAATGCAAAGACACTTTGACACCTTGCTTCCAATCAAACTCCCTGAACAGGAAGAATTTTCCCGGGCTGACAGACCTAAACTAACATTGGCTTACACAAAAGCATGTGACTTCCTGTAACAACAAAACAGACATTTAACCCAATATACACTGAGTGTTTTTATCTTGTAACACCCAACAGGCCAAGAGGGTGTGATTGGCCCAATGTCACCCAGCGAGTTTCCATAGCACCCTGGGTCTCCCACACTGGCTATTTGCTTGTTCACTTTACCTTTCTCCCCAGTGGGGGTTGAAAGTGGCTAATATCGTTCTCCTCTCCTGCATTTTACCTTCACAACAATCCGAGAGTGTAGGTTAGGCCGGCAGACAGTGACAGGTCCAGGGGTCATCTTGTAGAAAAAGAGGTGCAGGAGCTCATTTGCATAGCTCATTTGCATATGCCACACCCCCTGACAAAGGGCAGGCATGCAAGCATGCCTGGGTTCCCTGTCTGATCTTCTCATTTAAATCCCCCCCTTCCCTGAGTTTCTCCACAAAAGCTCTGGCAGGAAATGACCCCTGGACAGGTCTAAGGCACCTGGGTTTGGGCCACTGTGTGACACAGAGTGTTCGACTGGATGGGCCACTGGCCTGATCCAACACGGCTTCTGTTATGTCTGGGGCAGTGATGCTCTGTATTCTTGGTGCTTGGGGGAGTGCTGGTGGACCTCCTGATGGCACCTTAGTTTTGGCCACTCTGTGGCACAGAGTGTTGGGCTGGATGGGCCACTGGCCTGATTCAGCAGGGCTTCTCTTATGTCTGGGGCAGTGGTGCTCTGTATATTTGGAGCTTGGGGGAGCAAACGTGAGAGGGCTTCTGGATTTCTGGCCCTGTTGGTCGACCTCCTGGTGGCACCTGGGTTTTGGCCACTGTGTGACACAGAGCAGTGGACTGGATGGGTCATTGGCCTGATCTAGCAGGGCTTCTCTGATGGTCCCATATCACTCAGATCATAGTCAGAGCCTCTAACCGCTAGGCCAATAAACACCTTCATGTTTCCGAAGGGGATCAGGGATGGTGATTTCCCCGCATATTTCCCTCAGCAACTTTTCTCTTGGGAAGGCAAGCCAGTGTTCCCTCTAAGCTGAGTTAGTGTGAGCTAGCACAGTTTTTTAGCCTCCGGGTCACACATTTTTGTCTTAGTTCAGAAAGGCAGGCTGCAGAGCAAACTAATTTATGCAGTAGCCAAATTACCGGCTCACAACTTTTATGCTAGTAGCTCACAAAGTAGAATTTCTGCTCACAAGACTCCACAGCTTAGAAGGAACATTGCTGGTCCCAGCGCCATTGCCTCTCTCCCCTCCCCCCGTTGAAAGTCTGCCTTTCCCACCCCCCACCCCACCAAATGGGATAGGGGGGTGGGGAGGGGAGGGGAGGGGAGGGGGGCAGGCAACAGCTGTCGGCGTCTCTCCGCGAGGCTCCTTTTTCTCGACAGCTGCGGCCCGTCAGTTATTTATGAGGCCACCGGAGCCGCAGCAGCCTGGGCGCTTCGGGCTGCCTCGGCAGAGGCCGGGTTCTTCTGGGCCGACGGCACCAGCTGCTCGGCGCTCCTCCCGGTACTGGGTGGCGGAGCGGAGCGGCGGCCCCGCGGGAGCCAGCCCAGCCCTGCGGTAAACAAGGCGGCCGGGCGGCCCCCGGAGGGCCGGGGCTGCCCGCCTGGGAGAGAAGGAGGGAGAGCCGCGTTGACGACGGAGGGAGAGAGGGAGGAGCTCAGGCAGGCAGGGGAGGGAGGGAGGCTTGAAGTCCCGGCGGGCGGGCGAATGCCGCTGCCAGGCAGGGGAGGCCAGCGCAGGGAGCCAGGCGCCGATGCGGCCAGGCCAGACGGAGCCCCGCCGTCGAGCAAGCCCAGATTCAGTTGCTGGGGGAGGGGGCTGCCGAGTGGGCTGCCGAAGCCTCTCCCTCCCCCAAGGAAAGCCAGCGTGGTGTAGGTGTGAAGCGTGCGGGCCTAGTATCTGGGAGTCCAAGGTTCGAATCCCCACTTGTGCTGGGACGCCGGCTGGGTGGCCTTGGGCCAGTCACAGACACAGTCAAGCCTACCTGACTGGGTTGTTGTGAAGATGAACCGGGGGAGTGGAGCAGGCCCGTAGCCAGGATTTTGTGGCTTGTGGTGCAAATTTATTTCTGGCGGAGCTGAAGTTTTCCCTGCAGAAAGAAAAGCCATTTAGCCAAAAGAAAGCTGCGACCAGGATACATCTCTAATTTGCAAGCTGTCAGCCACTTTAGATGACAGTTCTCAACTGCCGCAAGTTAATCACTCCTGCCAGCCTAAACAACCATTCTGATAATAAGCCGGAAGGTAGGGGTGATGACTTCTATAGTCAAGAAAGCTAACACTTGGGCAGAAAAATCTCTCTTAAAGAAGACCAGTTTCTTGACACAGAGTTAGAAGGGATCCTAGAGGTCACCTACTCCACCCCCTTGATCGGTGTGGGAATTAGTCAACTACAGCACCCCACTCTGTTTAAAGAAGCACATGCCTAAGGAAAAAAGGAAAAAAGCATTTACAGGAGAAATTCTTGTGGGGCTGTGCCTTTAAGAAAGGGGGAGGAGCCCCCAAACGTCCCATCATAGCTACCGGCCTGGAGTGGAGAATGAGAAAAGGCGGCGCATACACGAATTCAACAAATACAACAAATAAACCGGGAAAGTGCCGCGGACCGAGCACCGAGCTCCGCCTAGCCTCTCCCCTTCGGCCCAGCGCCTGTACGAGCATTTCTGTCACTGGCCACGTGGGGCGCGCGCGGCCTCCCGCTTGCTTTTTAAAAAAGAGTCAAGTTTCCAATCCTCACCACTACTGCAAGTCTAAGTTTGTCCAGGAGCAGCCGTGTTAAGTGTGTGGCCGCAAAGTGAAACCAAAGTCCAGGGGCACCGGAAAGAATAACAATCTGCGTTTCAATAGGAGCCGTTGTGTGTCGCCGCTCACTTCTCTTTAGCCTTTAAGACGCCCCAGGCACTTCAGCCTAAATCTGGCCCAGGAAGCTAGGGGAAGGGCTTTCCGAATCCTCCGTTTCTAGGAAGGCCGGTGGATCCGAGAGGGGTCCAAACCAGAGGAAGGAGGGAGTCGTTAAGGGGGCGGGGGCTGGAGGGGCGAAGAGGATTGGGGCGGGGGGGGGGGGGGCGCTCAGGCCAGCCTCTCTCCCTCCCCAGATCAAGCCTCTCAAGACCACCAGGGAGAAGCTGTAAAGAAGCACCGCGCTACCGATGCCCTGGAGCCGGCCCGGGCCCCAGCCGACCTTGCAAGGGTGTTGTGAGGCTGGCTGAGCTGGCGGAGAGCAGAAGCGGCGGCGCCGCGGTCTGCCGCAGCAGGGCAGCGAAGGGGCTGCCAGGCGCTAAGAGCCTCCTCACCCCTCCGCGTGAGAAACCGCCTTGAGCCCTTGGCAGGCGGCTCCGCCGGGGTCTGGAGCGCGAAGCTGGGGCCCAACTCGCAGGAACCTGGCGGGGATTTCTCTCCTCCCCACGGCTTGGGAGGGGGCAGCCAGGCCCTCCGGTGTGGATAATAAGCCGAGGCACTTTGTAGGGTTGCCACCTCTGGGTTCCGAAATACCTGGTGTTGGGGATTCTTAATTTTAAAGTAAATCAGCAGCGTATTAAAGAGGCAGAGTCCATGGTGTGTTTAAAATATAAAAGTTTACTACAACCTAGCATGGGGGAAAGGTACACGGGATGTAAAATAACAAAGAGCTAATATTCCTACATCCTTTCAGCTAGACAGAACATGGGAGAAGAGAGCGAAGACTAACTTCTTCTTGCTCAGGACAAAGAACCATAAAATGCTAATACTTGGCACTTTGGTCTCCAATCAGAACAACAAACTAGATCTGAAGTTACCGGGCTTTCTAACTCTCTAAACTGATTGGTTGCAAACAAACATGTGATTTAACAAACATCATGAACCCAGTAAATACTGAAGAAGTGTTTTAACTTGTAACATCCAACACCTGGAGATCTGAGGGTGGCGCCTGGGAGGGGCCTCAGCGGGGGGGGGGGATGCCATCCAGTCCGCCTCCCAAAGCAGCCAGTGTCTCCAGGAGAAGCAGAAATAATAAAAGTTTTCCATGAATCGCCTTGTCCGAGCATGAGCGCAGCGTGCATAGGGAATAAAATTAAGGGCCGAGCTGCTAATAGACACCACTCCTCCACTTGCACCTGCTGGATGGCCTTGGGCAAGCCATAGTTCTGATAAGAGCTGTTCGCGAAAAATAGCCATCTCTGTCAGAGCTCTCTCAGGCCCACCCACCTCACAGGGTGTCTGTTGTGGGGAGGGGAAGGGAAAGGGGGTTGTAAGCCGCTCTGAGACTCCGAGTGAAGGGCGGGGTATAAATCCAATCTCCTTCTTGTGCTGTTTTTACGATGCTGTAAACCGCCCTAAGCCCGCTTGCGGGGCAGGACGGGGTAAAAGTCCCATAAACAAACAAACAAACAAAAGATGATGGCGATGATGACTGATTGATTGATAGACAGACAGACAAGCGATTTGTGTAGTCTGGAGACCAGTTGCAATTCCGGGGGATCTCCAGCCTCCACCGGGAGGCCTGGCAACCCTACTTCCCAGCAGTCCTTTCCTTTCCGGCGGCAGCGTCTTTCCTACCCGGAGAGCCCGGCTTTCTGCCTTCAAGGCGGCAGGAGGAGGGGGGGGTGCGGCCCAGGAGGTCCCGGTCCGGACTGGGCCCAGCTTCGGTGCCGCCGCGGGGCTTCTTGCTGGGGCTTTGCACCACAGCCCCGGGGCTTGGAGCGGATCGGTCTGAAGGCAGGCAGGGCTTTGCAGAAATCCCCGAGGGGCAGTCTGAACAGCCGCCGGATGCTCCGCAGACCCCGGGCTCCGTGTCCACAGCCCCGGCATTAATATTTCAGCGATCCAGAACAGCGCAGAGGCGGAGTGATGGGGGGGTGGGCTGGATCGGGGCGGTTGCCAAGGCTGGGGGGCGGGGGGAGTGCACTAAACGTCCTCTTGATCTTTCTCTTGAACTGAACTTAAGATACATGGTCAGTCTTTTAAGCTCGAATCTCCCTATGAATTGCCTTTTATATTGTATTTTTAAACTGACGTGGTTTTGTATAATTGGGAGTTTTTAATGTTCATATTTATATGTATGTTGTAAGCCGCCCTGAGCCCGCCTTGGCGGGGAGGGCGGGATATACATTTGATTAAATAAATAAATAAAGGCTTCTCGACCTGGCTGGCTGGCGACGCAAGAAGGGGCCGCCGGGTCCACTGGAGGGAGGGCAAACGGGAGAAGCGCGGCGGGCGGGCAAATCCCTCGCGAGTGGTGGCAGGTTCGAATCCTGGCATATCCAGGGAAGGGGATCTTCGCGGCCAGGGAAAGCCCTTCCTCTGCCGGAGACCCTGGGGATCCCGACCAATGTTCCCTCTAAGCTGAGTTAGTGTGAGCTAGCTCACCATTTTTTAGCCTCCGGCTCACACATTTTTGTCTAACTAACTTATGCAGTTGCCAAATTGCTCGCTCACAACTTTAATGCCAGGAGCTCACAAAGCAGAATTTTTGCTCACAAGACTCGACAGCTTAGAGGGAGCATTGGTCCCGACTCAGCAGGCCATCCTGAGCCCGAGCCTGGGTAGAAGCCAGCTTCAGGTGTGCTTCTTGGGAAAGGGGAAGGGGACGTGGCTCAGGTGTGGGTCTCACGCCCCGCAGGCAGAGGGCATCTCCGGTTCGCACATCTCAGGTAGTAGCCGATGTCTGGGAAAGCCCCCGAGGAGACCCCCCTCCTCTGGAAGGACCAGGGGGCCGGCTCAGCCCCAGAGCTCTTCTTCCCCGCCAGGGGAGCCGCCCACGGGGGTGCTGCGGGAAGGAATGTCTCTTCGCCGGAGACCTTGGGAGGCGGCCCGGGCTAGCGCTGGGCTAGATCGACGACCGCCGCGCCCCCGGGAAAGCCAGCCGGGTGCAGTGGGGAGAGTGCGGGGCTAGGATCGGGGAGAGGCAGGTTCGAATCCCGGCTCTGCCCCGGAAGCTGGCTGGGTGACCTTGGGCCAGGCACACGCTGTCCGCCTAGCCTACCTCAGGGGGTTGTCGTGCGCCTTTTTGGGAAGAAGGGGGGGAGCCAAGGGGGGGAGGGAGGAAGGAAGGGGGGGGTCTGTTTCTGCACTGACGCTCTCTCTCTTCTCTCTCTCTCTGCTCGGATCTCAGGGGTTTGCCTGGGGCTGCTGCCGCCGCTGCTGCTGCTGCTGGGTCTGGAGGCGCCCGGGTGCGGCGGCTGCCCGTCGGCCTGCGTGTGCTACCCGTCGCCCATGACGGTGAGCTGCCAGTCGCACCAGCTGCCGGCCATCCCGGAGGGCATCCCGGAGGAGAGCGAGCGGGTCTTCCTGCAGAACAACCGCATCTCGGTGCTGCTGCGCGGGCACTTCAGCCCGGCGCTGGTGACGCTGTGGCTCTACTCCAACAACCTCACCTTCGTCGAGGCGGCCGCCTTCGAGGGCTTCGCGCAGCTGGAGGAGCTGGACCTGGGCGACAACCGCGAGCTGCGCGCCCTGGCGCCGGAGACCTTCCGCGGCCTGGCCCGCCTGCACGCCCTGCACCTCTACCGCTGCGGCCTGGCCGCCCTGCCCGACGGCCTCTTCCGCGGCCTCCACAGCCTGCAGTACCTCTACCTGCAGGACAACCAGCTGGCCGCGCTGCAGGAGGACCTCTTCGCCGACCTGGTCAACCTGAGCCACCTCTTCCTCCACGGCAACCGGCTGGGCAGCCTCGGGCAGGACACCTTCCGCGGCCTCGTCTCCCTCGACCGCCTCCTCCTCCACCAGAACCGCCTGCGGAGCGTCCACCGGCGCGCCTTCCACGACCTCCGCCGCCTGACCCTCCTCTTCCTCTTCAACAACAGCCTGGCCGAGCTGGCCGGGGAGGCGCTGGCCCCGCTCGGCGCCCTGGAGTACCTGCGCCTCAACGGCAACCCCTGGGAGTGCGGCTGCCGGCTCCGCTCGCTCTGGGAGTGGCTGCCCCGCTTCCGCGGATCCAGCTCCGACGTGCCCTGCCAGGGCCCCGGGCACCGCCACGGCCTGGACCTCAAGGA